ATATTAAAGTCTGTTGCACTTATTGTGAATGGCAAAGTAAATCTACTGACTTGATTTGTGGCAGTGGCTTTACATTTGAAAGCAACTATCAGATTTAATAATTTCAGAAATTTCCCACCTTTCTCGTTTGGCTCTATTTTGCAAGATCCTCTGAGGATTGAGATATTTCAGACTTAAAATGTGTTTTATTATTAATGAAACTTTGGAAACTTTGGGTCTCCTCTCTTACGCACGAGTCTAAAAATGAATTCTCTCATGCCGGGAGACCTATAAATATTTTGGTGAGGATATCAGGACAGCTGCCGTTGCCAAAACAAGCTCTACAACATCTTCTAAAGCGCCCCATATTTGACTCTCAACCCCAACTTTGCTCAGTCAAACTCGGGCCGTGACATTGTGCACAGAAAACCTCATGCCCATTGTTTGCTTTCTAATACATAATTCATTTTGAGAAAGCACTGTCTTGGTGAGCTGTGAATGTCTCCGTGAGCAGCGTTTTGAGAAATGAGGCCAGGTGGAAAGTCTAAAGAATTGTAATTGGTTGCACAAAACCCCCCAAACATTTTGCACTAAATGAAGTAAAATTTAACAGAATGCTGCATCTGTTTGACAATGTAGTACTTTACATGACCATTTTCATTCCTGTGCAGTTTACGTGGCATCCATTAAGTGGCTTATCAATATTTATACATGTCTTAAGCTAAAAGAAGAGAGGACAGGGAGTCAAGGGTGAATCGAAACCCATCAAGAAGCATCCCGCGTGGCTTTACATGCATCTCTAATGGAAAGCTTCGGCGCCTTAGTGTGAATTAAGTAAATGGCATATCAAGTAGCTGACTACTTGTATCTGTTGTGCAGTTTTTGGACTGAAACCTTGCTATTGTTGACCTCTGTACTCTTCTACTCGGATACATTGACATTCTGCTCCTCCCCTTTTGTCACATGCCTGATCCAATCTCCGTGTTTAATGAGCCATTGCTCTCGCTCTCCGGATTTGATCTAAGTCTACAGACGACTGCTATCTCCCATAATCCTTTGGGTTCCCAGGGTCACACCAAAACCAACAGTGTCATTGAAAGGATTAACAGGTCGTTGGAGTCAAACTACAAAAGTGTGCCGTTTTATAGATCACCATAAGTTGCGACAGAATGACAAGTGTCTTGATGAAACAGTGTTGACTTTGTATTAGCCAGCATTGTTTGTCAAGTCTCAGCAAGTCTGGCGGATCTTTACTTTGTCTTCAGGGCTGCAAGCTGATAGAAGTTTCTTTGAGGTAGAACAGTCGGCATGTCACCTGAAGGTCACGGATAAATAAACAAGAGGATTTAATGTGGCAAGCGCTAGTACAAATTGAACTCTGAACTACTTTGTTTTATCTTGCGAAGTGGTGACGGCCCATGACACAATGCTATTAAGCAGACACAAATTATCCCAACGGAGCAGGGAACGTTTGATGGATATGGAGGGTAGTCTTTATACTTCTGTGCTCAATGAGCAGTGCAAATACAGTTTGTGACTGTCATCAGGGGCGATTGTAGGTTTTCAGCCTTTGGGGGTGCTCAACCCTATACACAAATATGAGCTATTACCACTGAGAGAAAAGTTTCTAGCTTTAAAAGTTGGTTGTTATAAGTTAGACTCATTTTTGTTTGTAAATGTAACATTTAAGATGTGATTACTGGTAATGTAGGGTTTCCTAGTAAATAGGATTTAGTTATACTTTATCCATTAAAAAAAAAAAATCGCATCAGGCTAAGCAAAGTGCAGTACTCCAACAAAGTAATGACTTAGGATGACTGTTTACAATCTGCTCATAAAAGTGTTTGTATGCAATTTTATGCAACATTGACTGATAGCCATGATATATTCGCAATATCAGAACTCGTACAGCCTCCTCACCCTTCTGTATTACTCCACCCTCAGAGTGAAAACAGATCAATAAACTCACTCTAGTTTGACAAATAATGTACTTTTGAGGCTTTTTAAAGCAAGAATGTAGTCTTTTATATTGCATCTAAGAAATTTATTTATAAGGATTGTACCTATTTTAAGTATTTTTAGCTTCTGAGATACAGCATGTCGACATCCATCAGCCTGTCACTGAGCAGAGCAAAGATGGTTGACTTTGCACTTCCACAAGATGGCGTCAGAGACTGCATAATAAGCCCTTAGAGGAGAAGAGACTGGCTTATTTTCAAACTACAGCTGATCTAAACATAACATTGGTGAGTGTCATTCTAAGTCGATCTCTCTATTTTTGCAATGCTGTATATTTATATATGTTTTTATCATAGTAATTGTAGATGGGACTCTCATATCTGGAATATATGTATTTTGTGTTGGCCACTCTTTGTATAACCCCAAGTTACTGTACTTTTTGGTTTGCTATCTGTTTGTTTTAATGAATAACCTGTTTTTCTTACTGCAGACTAGTTCAGTAAAAAAGAGAAAGAAGAAATGCCTGCATGTGTGTAGCAGCCTGATCTCACGATAAAACGTAAGTATTTTACGTTTTGCCAGTTTAGTGGCTAATTCGTACGAGTTCAGTCGTACGAAATGGTACGATTTTAAAAAGGAGGCGTGGCACCTGACCCCACCCCTAACCCCGACCGTCATTGGGGGATAAGCAAATCGTACTAAATTGTACGAATTAGATCGTACGAATTCATACGAATTAGCCACTAAATGAAAAAGTTACGAATTGCCGTGAGATTGTGTTGGTTTTTCCTTATCGCAAACACAACAGTAATCTGGTAGTGATTATGTTGCTTTAGCTATTTCGATTAATTATTGTGGTATCGCGATTTCAACAGAGAAATACTGGGAGATATCTCTGTAGACTGATGGGATTTCATGTCGTTCAGCCTTATAATCTTAAAATGTCAGCAAAATCACCTGCTTTCCATTACTTTAGACATTACACTAGAGAATCATTCACATGCTAAGTTCTAAAGTAATGTTGGTGAAAATGGTTTCAGCTGTTTTGAAGTCATCTGCAGATGTGAAAGTATGGCATAGTTCCTTATACAAAAGGATTTTGAGACTCCATGTTTTTCTTTTTTTGTGTACACTATTATGCCATCGAACTGTTGTGTAAACGCAATATCACACTCGTAGCAGTGTGATATGCCTATAAAAGGCCATGTGTGATATTGCTCATTCATCAGATGACACATACTTATTTTGTGAGTGTGTTAGCCATCATGTGTGCTTAGCAAAAGATTAACTCTAGAGAGATGGTTCTTTTTAATGTAATAAATCGGCATCAGCAAGTGAATCATTTCAAAGCTTTTGGCAATGGCAAATGGCATAAGTGAAAAAAGGTCCTTTTCCATGCTGACACTTTTACTGTGTTTCAGAAAATGACCTCTGTTAACACTATTCAACCAAAAACATATGATGTGACCACTCACACTCATTGGGTGAGTGCATATTTGTCTGACTTCTGTACTTGTTGTCTAATGCTTGTGTAATATGCGAGGAGCTTGACAAATCAGAAAATGAAACACAGCAGTACAGAATAGTTGTTACAATACAATGTTCTTTGATTAGAAGTAAAAATAAGTTAGGGGATGCCTTTAACACACTAATAGCAATCACCCAGATGTTGTCCACATCGCTCACAGCTCACTTGTACTTCAAATGCGCACAAAAAACAAAACAAATGACTGTAGTGAAAGAACAGCACTAAAATAAATGAACATTTCAGTTTTACTAGTGTGAAAATTTGATTATTTGACAATACTGAATATATGTCTGGCTGTGTGAGATTTTAGGTTTTGTTATTATCTTTTCTTTTTTTTTGCATGACACGTTGACGTTATGGCGCAGAAAACTTTCAGCTTCATCCTGAACTATGTATGCATTTGTTTCATGTTGTCACAAAATGGAAGAAAAACTCTATGGAGCACATACAGTAAATGTCACATTCTTTTTCTTTCTCCTGTCAACTTCAGTCTACAAATGAGTCTACTTTCATAAACAATACAGCAGGAGTTGGGGAAGGTCTTTCTTTTTAACCTTCCTCATAAGCTGTTCACCCATTTCGATAAAAAAACTTCCAACTATGATTTTGTGACTTAAAAAATGATATCCATGCAACCATAAACCAACAGACTAACATACACTAAGTCAAGTGGAAATAAGTAATTTATTGTAGTTTTTTGTTTTGTTTTGCTTTGTTTTTAATATTATACTGAATTCATAAAACAAGAACAAAACGTTTTAAAAACATGTGCTATAAGTGAATTGGATAAACTAAATAGACCGTAGTGTATGTGTGTGAATTAGTGTATATGGATGTTTCCCAGTACTGGGTTGCAGCTGGAAGGGCATCTTCTGTGTGAGACATACTGGATAAGTTGGTGGTTCATTCAGCAGTGGTGACCCCTGATGAATAAGCCAAAGGAAAATGAATGAATGGAGGGAGACTAACTAAAGTAGTCAAAATTTTAGGTGAATCGAAAAGACTTATCAAAATTGTCCTAAAACAAGAATAGGTGTACAATAGTTACAGGACAACTTTGATGAAAGGTTGTGATGCAATTGAAATGTTGACTGTATATACAAACTACACATTTCGTTTAGGGAGCCATTTGTGTTCTATTATTTATTTATTTATTGTTGCATAATCATATTTTTTAAGGGGGGGGGGGTGGGGCTTACAGATTACACCGTTTTTTTTAGGAGCACTGATGAAATTGAGGTCTGGAAATCTGATCAAAACGAATATTGCAACAGAATCATTGCATGTCCTCCTTAATATATTGTAATCTTCCAGCAACAACCAAACATTCAGTAACGAACCTAAAACAGGTTGTTTTATGTGCAGACTAAATAACTGGCAGTTGCTGGACAAGGGAGGAGCCACAGCCTCACAGATGAGTCTTCTCCATTATCATAAACTACCTCCGCCCACCCCACTGTGGATCTCTCTCTCTTTCGCTATCTCTCCCTCTCTCTCTCTCCTCGTCTCTCTTTCCTCTGTTAATTCAGTTCTGGACAGCGCCGGGTACTGATGCTGCTGCCCGTGTAGTCGCATCTATCCTGGGGGCCTCCTCCCACTCATCCCAGCTCGAGAATCCGCATGTAGAGTCGTTCGGTGTCTGTCGCAGAAAAAAAGTCTCCGCAGTACTGCATCGGAATAAGGGCTCAGTGCACAAATCTTCTTCAACTGTATTCGTGGCTGTGAGTGTGGCGCTTTTCTGCATCAGCGCAAAGGAAGTTCTGTTCAGTCGTGCGGTGGGTGATGCTGTGAGATGCGTCGTGTTTAGCGCACGGAACCCCGATTTATTTGCCCAGACGGGAGAATAGAAGAAGCCAACAGTGCATGTGGGCACGTTTTAACTTTGATTCGGATTTTTTTCAGGATGTTTTGACGGGTGCTCTCCTAACGGGTTGACTGAAGATTTCGCCTTCAAGAGAAGCCCATTCGAGGCAAAAAAAAAGCAGTTTCAAAGGAGGACAAGCAGCCTCTCCGCACGGGATTTAAACCTACTGTCTCTTCGGCATCTTTTTCAATCGAGAGAGGATAGCTATTAACAGAAGGAGACATGAAAGTTTTTCCGGCAGTATTGTTTCTGATCACATTTTGGAGTCTGGAGTGGGAACCTGTTCTTCCCGATTCAATCATTCACATCGGTAAGTTCAGATGTCTGAAACACCATCAATGACTGTAATGCACTTTATGCAATCGCTGAGATTCTGAGGTCCATTTATAGCGCCCAAAGCTTCGTGTTGAATACGGTTGTGGCTGTAATATCAGGTTGGAGAGACGTACATCTCCATCTGCCCTCATCAATGCGTCCATTATGTAGTCTAGGTGGTGGAGAACAGGTGGTTTGACTAGAAGTGATTTCTCGTGACGCCGCATATATGCACCCCACGTTATGACATCTTTCAGAAAACGCCAACTTGGATTTCCAAAGATCAAGAGTGTTTGGCAATACTCTTTGTAAAAGGATTGAGCGAGCGCGCACGTGCGCGTGCATGCTTTTGCGATGGGTACGAGGATTGGCGCTGCGCGTGAGATCGGAGAAGGTCCAAGACAGGTCTTAAATCAGAGCCGTAAAAGAGAGGGTTCCTCCGAGGGGCCGCGGTGTGGAGGTGCTGGGGGTTTGGCATGAGAGAATTTGGCGTGGGATCATGCCCGTGTTTAATTTAATTAAGGCTTGATGCACTAACCAAATAAATATTGTAGCAAATGTGTTTCTGGCTAGACGTGGTGCATGCCTCAAAGTTTGTTAAATAAGTCACAGGCTATGCATAAAATTAATAAAACATCAGCAAAAATATCAATGTTTGTGAGTAGAAATGGCGATGTGGGTTAAAACGACAATATAAGTTTGAGTGTATTTCGGGAAGTTAATTGCATAATTTTGGGGGGATTTTACTTGGTAAACATTTCATACAATCAAATTAAAAATAAAATCAAGTAAAACGTTTGAATAGTTTATTAATACACCTAAAGTTATGTGGTAGTGTGTTTGTGTGTGTTCTGTTTTTATGATTGGCCAAATTTGCTGGAGAGGCCAGTTGTTATGCAGTCATGTGACTTCCACTGACCCACCTGTGACCACTGAGCTCAAATATACTGCTATATTGAACGTATTAACTAATGTAAAGGCCTACTAAAAGTCACTTTGTAATGGATGAAACATATTATTATATTTCAGTAGTAGCCTATTTACAATATCTCTCAGAGCTATTATTCCGGTTTAGTAGCCTATATTGTTAGTATTTTTTTATTGTTTGTATATTTTTACAGTGGAGTACAAAAAAGCAGGTCATCGTTGCACTTTATAATAATTTGTGATGAAATCTTGTTATTTTTAGTGCATAAGCAATCTACCATATAGCAAACAGGTGGTGTACAAGACGTTCATGATATTTCTCAATCTGGAATTGCTTTTCGACACACAGGACTCTTGGCACAGCGGTCTACCTTAATATGAAACAATAAATAAGATGAAATGCCTACAGATAATCAATGAACATTTACGCCTTCTCTTTAACACCGCACAATTGCTGTCGCGTGTTTCATGTGCACTGAGGGCATCTGAGACAGTTTTGCCTGTCATTAGTAATCCCCTCCTAATCTTTTCTCTGCAGTAGCTCTGTGAAAACGTGACGTCATTTGAATGCTAAAACGACATGGTTTCTTTGTCGGCGAGGCGCCTGATGAAGGCATTTTATCACACGCGCTTTACTTGATTGCCGAGCAGCCCCTAATGATGTGCGCACCAAGAGAAGTATCTCGAGCGCCGTGTGTTGCATCGCAATACTGCAGCTCCTTTAGGAGCCCATTGAGAAAGTCACAGTGATTTATGTGTGTGGAAAGCCCAGACTGTCCGGCAGTGCGCGGGTGCACCTCCAAATGCGCCTTTAGCACCGACCAAGAAGTGCCAAGAGACGGCGCAGGCCTGCTTTGAACTTGGCTCCAAACTAGAGATTGATGATTAGGTAATTATCTCAACACTAGTACAAACGTTTGGCTTTCAGGGGCCACTAGTCCTTGAGGAATTTTGATCACGTTTCCTTTGTCGCCGCCTAGTGGTCACAGTGCTTTTCCTAAACTTGAACTCCACTGTAGGGTCTCAAACTTTTCTCAGCTTAAGGTGTCTTGTCTGACTCGGAAACCTATTGCTGTAAACAGTTAAAATCAGTGCTGTTTTAGTTTTGTCTAGTTAATCTACCCACATATTGTTTTCTTCATAATATTTTTTTGTCTGTACGCATTTCAATTATAGCAATTTTGGTGCATTCTCTTGTTAATGTGTATTTTATTTAGTATTAAATGATTAAAAATGTGTGTATACATATTAATGAATAGCTAAAAATAAAACACAACTAAGCTGTCAAAACAGATTATCATAATGCATGCAACATCTAATTAACGTTTTTTTCATTTATTCATTTTCTTTTGGCTTAGTCAGGGCCCCCACAGCAGAATGAACCACTAACTTATGTAGCATATGTTTTACACAGTGGGTGCCCTTCCAGCAGGCAGCCCAGTACTGGGAAACATCCATTGACACTCATACACCAAAGTGAATTTAGCCGGGACTCGAACCAGCAGCCTTCTTGTTGTGAGGAACAGTTCTAACCACTGAGCCACTGTCATCTTAATTAATGTATTTACACTTAGATGATTAATTGTATTTTATTTTTGGTTTTACAGTGAAATACACACTTTAATCATTTGAGTGACGTTGTGAACCATTTCTTTTAGTGCATAAGCAAACAGGTGGTCTACAAACAAAACATTTCCTCTCAATCTAGAATTGCTTTTTGCCACTTTTCACACCGTGTTCTACCTTGTTCTGAATCAATATATAGGCTTAAAAGCATGGAGAAAATGAATAAACAATATCTAAACTATTAGCATGAAATAAGTTTGTTGCATGTTTGTTTAACTTGCTACATTTCAGTTATCAAAAATGAGTTAGCTTTTGTTTATCTATTAAACATTGTAAAATGATGAATTATATATATTATGTATCAAAGAGAAGGCTACTTTCACATCAAACAATAATCGTCCGACCCCCTGCTGCAGCAGCTGTGGACCCCCTGTTGTAAGACCCTGTTCTTGGTTGCTTTTTCAAGGATATTCACACTCTTCAGTGTTTCTGCCGTGCCTTTAAAGATACGCCATGTAATATTAATTCCTTTATTCCCCAGATGCTTATTTTCGGCTGTCTAATTGGTTGGGAGCACAGTATAAATCTTGCAGCACCTGTTTCAGTGGAACCAAGTCTCCTCTCCGCTGTTCACAATAATCGTTGAGCATGGACTAGATTTCGTCTGCGACAGTTTTAATGGTGTGGATCGCCCTCATTCTCAGGAAGATTTGACATATTGAGAGCACGTCTGGGGCTCTTAGGGGATATCACAAATACTCTCCACTGACAGAGTGTGTGTTTTCAGTCTGGCTGAAGCTTCCTTGTAATGTAGGTTGCGTGTTTGACATTTATTACGCAACTGAGAAGAATAGATGGAGAGAGGGGGAGAACGATATCAAAGCTGGAGGGGAATCAAATCGTTATCCCTTTTCTCTCCCCAGTCATGGGTAGTTACGTGTTAAACTCTAAAGCCAGAGGAAATTGTGGGATATAATCCTGAGCATTGCATTGTAGGTGGGACAGATGGGTAGTGCCATTTTCGTTGGTCTATTTCTGGCCGCCCCGTCCCAAGAACATGGTGATAATGAGATGTGCTTGCCCGGAGACTATCCTTCAAACTAGTGTTGCTTAAGCGTTCTCTCTAGCCCACTGTCCTTCTTTTAAGTCCTGCAATATAAAGTAGTGGTAATGAGGAGCAGCGCTTGTAAAGGTCTTGTAATTACGAGCAGTGCATGCATGGAGATGTGTTTGTTTTGATTGGATGGCTGTGTTGTGCCTGCTCAGGTGTTGGAAGAGATAATGAAAAGTTGAAATGCTTGATATAGAAGCGTTTTCCAAAGACGATTATGTGATCCCTTTTAGGCAGGGTTATTATCGTGGCATTAGCAGATGCATTGCTTTAACATTGCAGCATTCAGACTGTTGCATGTACAGTAGTTAGAAGCATCGTTTCTGCAATTAGAGTCTTTTTAAAATGAAGGAATGTTTATGCATAGATATAATTGCATCTTTTATTCGTAATGGGCATGTGAGGTTTTTGTGATGTTCTATGGCATTGAACTTTTATTCATTCTCTCTCAGGAGATGAATTGTTGATATCAACAATTCAATTCTTGCCGTCAACAACTAAATTGTTGATATAAAAATGAAATTGTTGACATAAAACAGAATTATTATCAATGTTATTTTTGCTATAAAAATGTAATTGTTGATATCATCATTTTCGATATCAACACATTTATTTTTGATTTGTGTAACTGTATTTTCACTAGTTAAATGTCATTAGATGTATGTTTTACTAGTTGAAATGTAATTCCTGATATCAACAATTTTCGATTTTAGTAAATTGATTTGTTATATTAAATTTTTTTTCTGATATCATGAATGAATGATGATTTTGTAATTGCTATTAGTAAAATAATTCAATTCATGTTTGTTTATACAGTGTCATGTAGATTGTGTCAACTCAAAGAAGCTTAACATAGAAGTTCTAGTCAACTGAAACCATGTCAGTCCAGTTTTTAGAGTTGAAGTTCAGTTTAGTTCAGTTCCGTGTGGTTTAAATTTCACTGCTGAAAGTCCAAACACTGAACAGCAAATCCATTGATGCACGTTTATGAACAAAACATCCCCAATTGATAAAAGTGAAAGAAAAAAAAAACCTTGAGAGAAACCAGGCTCAGTAAAATAATTATTTTACTTATTAAACTACATCACAAATACATTTTTAGATATCAGAAATAACAAATGTAACATATTGAAATATAATTGCAGTTTTCAAAAGCATTTTTACTGGTAACAATCCAATTATTGATATTAATCAATATGGCTTGTGATAAACAATTATATTATACTATTAATTGTTTAGGGTTATTTCTATTGGAATTGTAGAGCCAATGCTATGAAATTTCATTTTGTGTATACATACATGTGAATGACAATAAAGTACTTGGATTGAACAATTAGCATTTTTGAAATCAAGAATTGTATTTTTGCAAATTATGACATTGCTGATGTCAAG